GAGAGAGGACAGCAGCGAGAGAGTGAGAGATGAGAGCAGAGAGCGCACCGAGCGTGTCGCCCTTGTAGACGGGTTGTTCCTGCTCCAGTCCGCTAGATCCACCTCGGGGTTCCACGGCCACAGGAACGACGGCGTGGGCGCGCCCACTGTCACCGCGCGCTTCGTCACCCGCGTCAAGATGGGCTGCATCACGAACTGATGGCGGAATGGTGGCGGGGAATGTCAGAGAGAGAAGTCGTTGGGGAATTGTTGAAGGGGGAAGGTGGTGAAATGGGGACATCTTCTGACAGACATGGGGGGGGGGGGGCCAAGGTCCACGAACCCACCCACCCATCCACCCATCCAGAACCGACTCAAAACCCAAACCACTCCACACCGCGCGGCACCGCGTCGCACCTTCTGGCCGTAGTAGCAGTGGCCGTAGAGCCCCGAGCCGTAGAAGGCGGTGGTGTTGCCGACTTTGACGGTGCACCCCGCGCTGCCGGCCCCCCACACGTCGTAGCACACAACGGTCGCGGCGGAATAGTTGCACGCGCGGTAGTCCGCGAACGACGGGAAGCGCACCACCTCCTCCGCGTACATGGGGTACTTGAAGGCTGGCGCGCACGGGGAAGATCGGCGGAGATTGGGGGGAGATCGGCGGAGATCGGGGGGAGATCGGGGAAGGATCGGGGATGGGTGGATGAGACCGTCTCGACACTCGAGGATCGACAGGAGTGGCGCAGTCTGTTCATTGTTGTTCCTCTCACAAACTCACAAACTGCTGTCAGGACATGAGTGCACGAGTGTAAGAATGCATGCCTTCGACTGATGACATGACGAGGACTGTATCGCGCGACTGGCATAATCACTCTCGTGACTACCAGTTCAGTGCCCACCGACTCACACAGCACATCGCCCGCGTAAATCTTCGTGGCGGCAGCCCACTCGCTCCATTGGACGGCCGGATTCCACGGGTACGAGTACGCGCCCTTCGCGTATCCAACGGTCACGATCACGCTGGGGCTCGTCACGGTAAGCGCGGGAGGAATGCCGTTTCCGCTGCTTCCGCCAGTTGCAAGTCCCGCAGGGGAGCCCGTGGGGAGAGCGGGGACGGGCGGGGGGGCTTCGTCGAGCACACGGCGGAGCGCGCGCGCCTGGCGCGGGGGGCGGCCCTGAATGGTGACCTGGGTTTGCGGAGGCCGGGGAAAAAGGGACGAGCGTTAAGGAGCGTTAGGAGAGCGTTAATGAGAGGATCCAGAACCCGCCATCATTATCAGCACGTGCTTGAGAGACCACCTTCGTTACAAGAAACACCACGCGAGCGCACAGAAGCACATCAAGTGCACACTGCGCGCACAAGACCGCGCGCACGAGCCCGAGAGCCCACCTTCTGGCCCAGGCGGCAGTTCCGCGGAGTGGACGCGAAGTATTGCGGAGCCTCCCCCACCACCGCCGTGCACTGCCTCCCGGCGCCCTGCGCGCCCGAGCACACCAGCGCGGCGTCCGCGTAGGCGCACGCGGAGAATGCCTCGAGCGAGGGGAAGGAGAATACGGCGTCTTCAGGGGGGAACTCGAATACTGCCGGGGAAATGGGGAAAGTGTGCAGAGGAGAGATGGCAGAAGGGGAGGGATAGCAGAAGTGAGGTGGGGGAACGAGGAGTATAAGCTGAGGTAGAAGTGGTGAGCGAGAAAGGCCAAGGTATAAGCGGGGGGGATCGCCATTCTTGTACCACATTTCGAGTATCGTTTTCGAATATCGTACAGTGCACAATCTCTTCGGTCGAGAACGCTCGTTGTTGGGCGTGCGGGTATGATTGCATATCACGCAGCGACAGATGGGAAAGGATGGTGTTCTGGAGCGGCCGCGATCGCCGCCGTGTCATAAGGCTTTCATGCGCCTCAACAGTTGGCTTCCCATTCGCTGCATTGACTCGATGAGGCTCGTACGACGTTCCGACATCGGTACTGCCACTTATCCTTACGCCAATATGTTGCCGCGTGCTTTTTAGAATTCTCAAAAACACCCAGAAGCGTTTTACATACGCGGATTTTTTCCGTCTCATTAGATTTATTCCTTTCACATTGCTCTTCAATCACGCGAGTAGTGCCACATCCATTGCATCTTCGCGAGTCGTACTCACCAACAGAGTCCCCGATAACGAGCACAGTTTTCTTCTCCCACTGCGGGTAATCCACTGCGCTGTTCCACGGGTGCTGGAACCCGCCTGTATCGCGTACGCCCACCACGACGAGCCGCCCTTGCGCCACGCGCGCGTGGAGCGTGAGGGTCAAGCCGAGAAGGACGAGGAGGAGGAGGCGGAGCGGTGGGAGGTGCAGGCGCATGGTCGTCCAACTGCGAAGCGTCATGTTTACAAGGCGATCCGACACTGTCTACCAACTAGTTAAACCAAGCAAGAATGGATCAGGCTTACAGAAATCTCTGTGTTTGCGAACAAAGTGTATTTGAGAAACTTGGATTTCGAAAGTAGGGTCTTAGCGGGGAGGTGGCGGTGCCTGGTTCCTGCCGCAAGTCGCAGGCGAGAAGTAATAGCTGGTGGAACAAGCTTAAACTATGACAAGAGAAACCTTATCTCGCGTTTGTTTCTAGTCGTTCTAATCATTCGCGTTCGTGACGCTTATGGCAAGAGATTTGCCCACACCTCTCGGCCTAATGCTTGCAGATACGCTAGCCAATGCTGGCCCACAACAATGGGCTCCGTAGAATCGTTACCGAGCTGCCTTTCTGGAAAGACATCAATCAAGAGGTTGATGGGAGAGGGAAGGGAACAGCTAGGGTCACATCACACGAACGGCGCGAGGGAGAGAGAAGAGACCTGAGAGGCTGAGAATCAGCAGGCACACAGGAGACGGTATGGCGCCTCAGGTGATGGATGTGTTGGACATGCGAAACTCAAGCGTCCAGTGGAGCCAGCCGCCATCGAGGCGGCGCGTTGACAACGGCTCGGCGCTTTCTGACAAGAAGGTACTTGTTGGGATAGGGCTTTCTTTAGTATATCACGAAGCGATTTGGCGAAGCGACAGTGGCGGACCGAATGCAGGCAAGCGGGGAGAAATTGATTCTCAACACGGTGCAGGAGTGGGGCCTCCGTTTTGAGAAAAGCGTTGGGTGGGGAGAGATTGAATATGGTGATTTGAGCATGCTGCTGATTTGAAAATTGATGCGCGTCGCGGCGGTATGTCCCCTCCGCTCTGCTCGCTGACTGAATGAAAGGGTGGCATTTTTCAATTTCGCGGGCTCTGGTGCATTTGAAGTCCTGGCTTTGCGCGCCCTCTGCAAAGTTCGCTTTGCTGCCAGCGCATGCTGGGGTTGGAGGGCAGACGAAGTGGCGCCAGAGTTTGTATTTGGTGCGGTATGATTGGTTGATGGGTGTGGACTACTGCTTGGCATGTCGGTGTCACACTCTCATCAGCTGGACTGCCGCTCTGAATTGACAGACACGAACGGGCAGACGCCCGCGGAATTGCGACACATATTCTTCCTCGTTATGGAGGCTCCGTTATTGATGAGCACCTTGACCAATCAGAACCATCTGACAGGGGCTCTATCTAGATTCCTCATACATCAATACGTTATTGAACGATCACATAAAGTCAGTGGGGGAGACTGCAAGGTAGAAACATATAAATTACAAGAGCAATATAAAATTAATCAAACATATGCTGTGTTGGTTCCGCCTTAAATCTTTGTTTATATGATCTTTGTGTCAACTGTTTCTCCAAACACTAGCTGATTATGAAATGACATACCAGAGATGTGCGAGCTATTCACTTATCCGATTCGTGGCAGTTTCTTCAGAATTATATATTTAAATGATAATGGTATATTATGCAGGGTGAAAATGCAAATCAATAGTTCTATCAATATGTTGTGGAATTGTGTCTTGTATCTAGGGTTTCATATTTTTGTCGAATCAAGCCAATAGTGTAGTTGATCGCCTCACAAACCAAAGAACATCAATCAACCGGTTTGTAAAAGACAGAACCACTGTATAACTAGGGAAAACCTTGCGCAATCGGACTAGACGAAGCAAGCAACAAACACCTTCCCCAACCTTTCCACCACACCACCCGCGCCCAACTGGGTCTGTTCCGCGTCTCATTTCCGCAATCACTGACCCGCGCGCACGTTCTTGATCGGGAGTCTCACAAAACCAGCGGCCGCACCGCGTCCCCGCAAAGTTCGGGCTGCGACTGTGCTGCCGGGGTTCCACCCGGCCTAGGTCCCACGTACAAACCGAATCGTCCGGACATTGATGCATTGCGCTTCGGCGGAGAAACATTGAAGATTGGGGGCATGGCTTTATCAACCGACGACGTGTATTTGGCAGGGGTCAATTCACCGTCAGAGCGAGCCCCACACGCTCTCAGTTGCAACAAGCACTGGATTGGGCAAAAAAACCGGCCATCAACTCACGCACGCACAAGCAATTTACGCTGCTCTCAGAGTCTCGGCTCGGGTCCTAAAGCGCAACATGACTTTTACCGACAAACACGGCTTGTATGTTTTGTTCGTACAACTGCGATTGCCCCTAGTGGCTTGACGAGAGTTTGTGACGACCTGGGATGGGAGATGCCATCATCGACAGGCGCCATAACCGACCAATCACTACTCTCCCGACCAAGTAGGCCTCGCTAGCTTTTCGGCTCGGAGAAGTTGCCACTGAATCAGCCCTTGGACCCGTCCTCCTGCATACTCACGAGCCTCAACCCGACAATCGCTCGCCATTTCTGCTGCTTTTCGCGGTGATGCAACAACGACCCTCGTAGCTCATCGCATCTGTCTCCCTGGTGAAGTACGCCCAGCCAAACTTATCCATCATCCGCTGTAATTAGTGTTCATAGCTCTAGAATCAGAGCGAGGCAGGACTGTTAGGGATCCATTCGGTTGATCAGAGGCGTCAGTATTAACTCTTCGGCGAGTCATCTTACAAGCAAGCAAATAATATATCACTCGATGAGCTTTTAGTTCCGTAAACATCACACCTACTCGTAAGGTCGTCATTAGATAAGTTCGTACTAGACGTGAACGCATGGTCAGGCGGCAGTCCGCATCGGTAGGTAGTCCTTCCTCTCTTTCGCGTAACACGTCAGCGCTGCGAAAGCCGTCGACGGTGATACTCACGCCGCAAGTGATGTCGACGCGAGTGCCCTTTCCGCGTATTATTACATGCCTCTGCCTTGTCATCGCCCTGGCGTGCGGCGCGCGGGGAGCAACCCCCGTGGCACCGGCGACAGGAGGGCGCTACATCACGGTCGGCAGCACAAGCGAGAAGTTTAACTACGCGTGGAACCCCAAGGTTAACTACGCTGATTGGGCGTCGACGGAAGATAACACGGTGTACACTGGAGACGTGCTGGGTACGTGTGTGCGTCTTTTGGGTGAAGGCGGGGAGGGGCTTGGTGACTGCTTGTGTGTTAGGAGGCGGGACAGCAGCTTCCCTCTCTTTGTTTTGCCCGCTTCCGTCTCCTTTCAGTTCGACCTTCGCAAATAGAGGAACCTCAATGTTTGTTTGTTGACGTCTTCTTTCGGCCTGCCATTCCGCGTGACTGTCTCTCCTCATCCTTAGCATTCTATGTCGTCTCCCTCCCGTCACTCCCACCAGTGTTTAACTACCCTGCCTACTCCGACGAGGTCTACTTGTTTTCCGACCCCGTGGCGTTTCAGCGCTGCCAGTTCTGGAAAGCCACGAAGGTTTGCAGCGACACGGACGGCGAGGCGGGATGCACGGTGCGCATCGACACGCCCGGGGTGGCGCTCTTCGCGTCGGGCATGATTGCGCGATGCACCTGGAATAGCAAGGTAAGTGCCTGGATCAATTTGAAAATCAATGCAGGTCAACACAAGTCAACGGTGGCGGTACAACGTGAAGCTCTACCTTGTGTGACTTGCCGTCTTTCTAATCGTAACCGCAAAATACTTTTGCTGCGTCGCTTTCTGGTTGCTATGTCTCACCTCCCAACGCTGGTGTTGTTGTACCCCATTCCGCCCCACGATTACCCACTCTCGTCTACCGCAGCTGAACGTCACGGTGATTCAGCGCGGTACTCCAAGGAACGTCTATGTAGGAAAGATAATGCCCGGGTACACGTACCCGTGGAACCCTGCCGTTAACTACACCGACTGGGCTGCGACTACTACGGTTTACATCGGAGATTCTCTTGGTGAGTACAGTGACGTTACGAAGTATGTGGGATTGACGGGCTTGCAGATCAGAGCTCTTTTGCGATTTATCCACAAATGGTACCGATTATAAAAGTATTCTCTTGTCATACATGCAGTTTTCAAGTACCCCGACGGCTTAGACGAAGTATACAAGGTGCCGACTCAAGCCGACTACGATGCTTGCGAAGTACGCAACTACGAAACAATGTGCCGATCGTCGGATGGTGTAATCGGCTGCAAGACTGATCCACTAACCGCGGATCCAGTATACTTCATTTCTGGAGTGTACTCAAAATGCGCAGCGGGAATGAAGGTGACGGTTACGGCTATACCATTTCCAACGGATACAGCCACATAATTGATGGGATGGGAGTGCCTCTTACTCTGTACAGAGGTGTTAGGTGAGGTTCAATGCTGGCACAGGAGTCCCACGTGTCAATTTGCGGGACAACAACAATGAGCTGGTGGGGAGTCAGAAGGGGGCAACTGACCATGAGAGCACATTTCAGGCCTAGGTGCTGCTGGCAAGTTTAGACATGAAGAATTCTTTGCTGCCATCTTCTGTGCTGCTGCTGTTATGCTGCAGCAACCATTGTTGGTGGTGGTAGTGGCGCTACTACTTTATGAAGTAACTACCAGAATTGATAGTACTCCTTAGGGCTGGAACAAGGATGGATGGGAATATGGACAGGTTGCCGCCTTAGGAGGGTAATGTTATCCCTAGGATGGTAATGCTATTTAGTGTTTCATTATATAAATCTTAGAACCATGCTCCAAATCAATCAGCTAATTTCCCTGACTCCTGTACTACGACGGTGAGATTTTTGTGAGATGTTTTAGAAGTACACAAGGCTGGGTTGGGGATGTTAGATGTATCTCTTTTGATTTGAATCGTTACGTATGAGTAGAGACACGCTACGTGTATGGGCAGCTCATTCAGAGGCTCCTACTTGAAGTGGATCATACACTAAAGCCGCGCTGGTTCCACCAACACCACCTTATCACCTCGAGGCTTTGCGCAGGCCCGCACCATGCTTGGTTTGGAGGTTCAGTTCAGATTCGGCATGCTCTGCGGGGACAACCGATTTGCGCCAATCGCCTGTGAGAACCTCCAGGTTCGGGCCAGCTTCGGCAGAATCAAAAGTGTGATTCCATCCATGCCTAGGCGCGGCTGCTGTGCCCCAGTAGCACATCCAATTTGACGTTTCTTGGTTTGGAAATTGAAAACCATGGACAGCACCGTGGTGGTGTGAGGTTGATCGCGGTTCACGGGGCGGCGTTGCGGTCAGGAGCGGTCAAATGGAACTAAGTCACTACCAAATCTGAGCCGCGTGAACCCCTTGCGTGTTCCCGCTTCGCATCAGACTGATCCTTTTGTTAGCTAACAGGCAACATCGCCTTACTCCAATACCAGCATACAAGGCATAATTGGAACTTATTCTCGTTCAATTCCTTGCGTGTTCATCCACAATGCGGCAGCGCGAAGCGAGGGTCGCATAATACAATGTCGGCAGCAGCAGCATAATGTACCCCATTTCAGTTGTTTACTTAGTGGTACCCACAGTCAGTCAAATTGTGTCCTCTTAATGCCGTTTCTCTTAGTCTGCCTCCGGTCCTTACACAATCACCGTTCTTCTCGCCTCTCCCGCGGGTCGCCTCTTCAAATTCCGCCGCAATGGCGGGCGTACCTTCGGCCCAACTCTCTCCGCGGAGCGCTAGTGGTCCTCCGCACCCCGTGCGGGAGGCGGAACGAATCTCCCCTTCCGCCATCTCCTTAGACATAGAGAATCCCCGCAGTTTTCCGACTAATGCGGGGAAAGCCGCTACAGACGGCGCTACGTGCGCTTACTCCGGCAGTGGCGGGGAGGCGGGGCCCAGCGCGAAAGCCGCCGCTCCCCCCGCTTTCTCTTCCGCAGCGGCGGATATTTATCGGGATGAAGCAGGCGTAGGGGGAACGGAAATCCTTCCCGCGGAAGCGGGCGCGCGGGGAACAGCAGGGGGCGGGGCGAGCAGCGGAGCAGAAGCGGGAGCCGCGGGGGGAAAGGGAAACGGAGAGCTGAATGGCGAATCAAACCCCCCACTTGATGATGACGTGGAAGACGATTTATCACTCCTCACGCTGCAACGGCCCCCCCCAACCACGCGATCCGCGCGCTTGAAACGCATCTGCGGCCGACTCCTCTCCGCCGTCGCGAGCCCTATAACGGGGATAGCGGCGTGGATGCGGGACCTAGGGCGCGTGTTCGGTTGGCCGCTGTTGGGAGTGGTGATGGTGGCGTATGGGATTAATCAAGGGTATGGAAGCTCGCTCATGGGCCTATCGTTGAGTTACTATTGGAAGGACGTGCAGCATCTGCAACCCGCCGCCGCTCAGTTCTACATGGTCCGTGGCATGACGTGTCGTGACGTGGCATGACGTGGCATGACGTGGCGTGGTGGTTGAAAGCTGCTGCCTGCGTGCATGTTGAGTGGTGTGAAGATCCCCTCCCCACCCCACCCCCACCCCCACCCCCACCCCCGGCCCCTCGCCTTCCTCCTTTCCCCCTCTTTTCGCAATTCTCCTCGCGCTGCGCTCAGACGTAATTCTTCCTCCTGCCACTAAGACGTAAGGTCGCCACAGCACACCACCCCCCCCCACCCCCCCACACCCCTCACCCCACAACCCCCCACGCCCCTCACCCCACAACCCCCCCACGCCCCTCACCCCACAACCCCCCCACGCCCCTCACCCCACAACCCCCCCACGCCCCTCACCGCACGCGTCCTGTTGGCCGTGCGTGCAGAGCTTCGTGGGCATCCCATGGGACGTGAAGCCACTCTACGGCATGATCACAGACACCTTCCCCATCCTCGGGTGCGTTCTTGAGACGTCTCAAAAACTCACTGTTATCACGTGGTTATCCCATGGGATGTGAGGCTGCTCTATGGCATGATCACAGACACCTTCCCCATCGCCTGCCCACCCCCCACCCCCTCTCTCCGCCTTTCTCTCCCACCACTTCCCTCTGCTCCCCCCCCCCCCCCCCCCTCTCTCTCTGCCTTCCTCCCCGCCCCATCTCTCTGTGTGCTTATACCCGCGTTCTTCTTCCCTCTCCCCAACCCCTCCCATTCACCTCAATCCCCTCGTTCCCATACGCCCTTCCCCCACCCCCCTCTTCCCCCCAATGCTCCATCCATCCCCCCCCAGCCAGCTTACAATGCTGGCCCTACATTCCCCGTCATGGACATCCCCATGCAATGCTACAGTGTGTTTTTGTCAACACTATGCTCCCTTCCCTTCCCCCGTTCCCCATCCCCCTTCCCCCGTCCCCCTTCCCCCTTCCCCCGTCCCCCATCCCCCTTCCCCCGTTCCCCATCCCCCTTCCCCCGTCCCCCATCCCCCTTCCCCCGTCCCCCATATACCCGCCCCTCACCCCTCCAGCTTCCATCGGCGGCCTCGCAGCATGATTCATATGATCAGCCCCCTCAATTATACGCTCCCCCCCCGTCCCCCTTCCCCTATCCAGCCAGCTTCTAGCAGTGGCCCTACATAGCCCTGTTCTGCCAGGGATCATCGGCCCTCTACCCTTCCCCCACTGACCTTCCCCCCGTCCCTCACCCCTCCAGCTTCCAGCGGTGGCCTTACATAGCCCTGTCAGGGGTCATCGGCACAGCAGCGTGGTGGGCGTTGGGGGGGGTACCCCACACCCCCACCCCATCTTCCATCCCCTCTCCCCATCTTCCATCCCCTCTCCCCATCTTCCATCCCCTCTCCCCATCTTCCATCCTCCCCCCAACCAGCTTCCAGCGGTGGCCCTACATAGCCCTGTCGGGGTCATCGGCACAGCAGCATGGTCTCCAACGCTCCTCAACTCAACAATATGCTCTCGCCCGTCCCTCTCCCCTCCGCCCCTCCTTAATAACCCCTCCAGCTTCCAGCGGTGGCCCTACATAGCCCTGTCGGGGTCATCGGCACAGCAGCATGGTGGGTGCTAGGGGGAATACCAGCGCTGGCGATGGCGCTGCTGGTGACGCAGACGCTGTTCTTAAGGCCCCTCAATAACACGCTCCCACCCTGTCCCCCATCCCCTCACCCCTCCAGCTTCCAGCGGTGGCCCTACATTGCCCTGTCAGGCATCATCGGCACAGCGGCGTGGTGGGCGCTGGGGGTGCTACCAGCACTCGTGCCGGCAGTAGCAACGGCGCTGCTGGTGGTGCAGGCGCTGTCCTGCGCCGTGCCGGATGTGGTTGTTGATGGCATGGTGGCACAGGAGATTCGCCTGCACCCCTCCTATGCTGCCGACCTGCAGGTGAGGAAGGGGTTGCACACTAACAGTGGCGCTGCTGCTGGTGCGGTCGCTAAGCCGTGCCAGACGTGGTTGTTGATGGCATGGTGGCACAGGAAATCCGCCTGCACCCCTCCTATGCTGCCGACCTGCAGGTGAGGAAGGGGCGGGGTGGGGAGGAAAGGAGTGTGCGAGTGGTGCTGCTGGTGGTGCAGGCGCTGTCCTGCGCCGTGCCGGATGTGGTTGTTGATGGCATGGTGGCCCAGGAGATTCGCCTGCACCCCTCCTATGCTGCCGACCTGCAGGTGTGACTCAGAGGAGCGGAGGGGAGGTGAGAAGGGGGAAGAGGGGGAGGGCCGCGTGGGGAAGAGTGAGTGAGGACGGGAGGCGGGGGAGGAGAGGGGGTGTATGTGAGTGAGTTCGGGAGGTGGGAGATGGCGGAATGGGGTTCTCAGAAGGGGAGGGAGGAGGCAGTGAGGGCGAAGAGGGCGCTGGTAGGTGCACCAGTCCCTACACCAGTCCCTCCCCGTGTGATCAGACATTCCAGCGTGCTGCAGTCCCTCCCCCCAGCCTCTCTCGCCCGCACCCTCTCTCGCCCGCACCCTCTCTCGCCCGCACCCTCTCTCGCCCGCACCCTCTCTCACCCGCGCCTCTCTCCTCTCCTATACCAGCAGCTCCTCTCTCATCAAATCCCTCGATCCCCCATGCAGCGCCTTCGTCCCCATCTCCCCTCTCCTCTCCTTCTCCCTCAATTCACCTCCCCCGCCCCCATCCCACCAGTCCCTCCCAGCAGCCTGTCTCGCGCTCGCCTCGCTCCTCTCCTACACCATCAGCGGCTCTCTCATCAAACACCTCGGTCCCCCTTTGCACCTTCTTCCTCATCTCCAATCTCCACTCCTTTCCTCTCCCTTCACCCCTTCCCCTCTCCCCCCCCTCCCCACCAGTCCCTCCCAGCAGCCTGTCTCGCGCTCGCCTCGCTCCTCTCCTACACCATCAGCGGCTCTCTCATCAAGTCCCTCGGTCCCTGCGGCACATTCTTCCTCATCTCCCTCGCGCCGTTCTCTCTCATTGTGGCTGCTCTCTTGCTTCCTGAAACGCGCCTGCCCGAGGGGAAGAGGAAGGGGGACGTGAAGAAGCTGAGGACGACGTGGCGCCGTTTCATTGGCACGATTCGGCACCGGAAGATCGCGCGAGCGGCCCTGTTTATATTTATTGCGCAGGTGAGGGGCGCTGAATTGGGCTGTGAGGTGGTGTGTGTGTGTGTGGTGTAGTGTGGTGTAGTGTGGTATGATGTGCCCTGCATCGTTGTGTGGGTCGATTTGGCATCAGAAGATCGCGACTTCATATGTTCCACCGCACTCCCTCTGCCTCTCTGCCTCCCCTTCTCCATCCGTCAATCCATCCGTCGCTTCATCCATCGATCCAGGGCGGGGTGGTCCCCAACATCACCTCGGGAATGTTCTTCTGGCTCACGGACGGGCAGCAGCGCGCACGGGGCAGCGCACAGGGCAGCGCACGGGGCAGCGCACGGGGCGCACAACAGCGCGCACACCCCATAAGCATGTCTGTCACACGCCCCACCATGCTCCCTCTGCCACCCCTCTCCCTCCCCTCTCCCTCCCCTTCGTCCTCACCTCACAGGGCGGGGTGGTCCCCAACATCACCTCGGGAATGTTCTTCTGGCTCACGGATAAGCAGCAGGGGCCGGGGTTCAGTGAGGTGTTCATGGGGGTGGTGGGCGCGGTGGGGCAGGTGGGCATGCTGCTGGGCGTCGCAGCCTATAACCTCTGGCTGCGCCGCTTCACCTACCGCTCTATCCTCTTCTGCACCCAGGTGCGTGCGTACGCAAGTGCTTGCCTGCTTGCCTGCCTGCCAGTGTTCATGGGGGTGGTGGGCGCGGTGGGGCAGGTGGGCATGCTGCTGGGAGTCGCTGCCTATAACCTCTGGCTGTGCCGCTTCACCTACCGCTCCATCCTCTTCTGCACCCAGGTGCGTGCGTACGCAAGTGCTTGCCTGCTTGCCTGCCTGCCAGTGTTCATGGGGGTGGTGGGCGCGGTGGGGCAGGTGGGCATGCTGCTGGGAGTCGCTGCCTATAACCTCTGGCTGTGCCGCTTCACCTACCGCTCCATCCTCTTCTGCACCCAGGTGCGTGTGAGAGTGGGTGCGTGATGCACGAGTGAGTGCGTGAGTGCCTGCCTTGGTGTTCATGGGACCGGTGGGAGCAGGAAGTGGGCATGCTGCTGGGCGTCGCAGCCTATAACCTCTGGCTGCGCCGCTTCACGTACCGCTCCATACTGTTCTGCACACAGGTGCGTGAGTGAGTGAGTGAGCGAGTGAGTGAGTGAGTGAGTGAGTGTGTGAGTGAGTGTGTGAGTGAGTGAGTGAGTGTGTGCGTGAGTGACTGTGTGAGTGAGTGAGTGAGTGAGTGAGTGAGTGAGTGAGTGAGTGTGTGAGTGAGTGAGTGAGTGAGTGAGTGCGTGCGTGTGAGTGAGAGTGCATGAGTGCATACCTGCCTGCCTGCGCCTGAGTGAACGAGGCGCCTTATCCCCTCACAAAGTCTAAAGGTATCCCATCCTCTGAAAACCCACCCAACCCCCCCCCCATTCTTCTTCTCAACCTCCCCCCCACCACCTCCTCCTCTTCACCACCTGCTTCGCCACCTGCTTCGCCACCTGCTTCCTTGACCTCCTCCTGGTCTCCTTCTGAGGCACCTCAAAAGTCGTCCCATCCTCTTCCCTCCCTGTCCCCCCTCCCTGTCCCCCCTCCCTGTCCCCCCTCCCTGTCCCCCCTCCCTGTCCCCCCTCCCTGTCCCCCCTCCCTGTCCCCCCTCCCTGTCCCCCCTCCCTGTCCCCCCTCCCTGTCCCCCCTCCCTGTCCCCCCTCCCTGTCCCCCCTCCCTGTCCCCCCTCCCTGTCCCCCCTCCCTGTCCCCCCTCCCTGTCCCCCCTCCCCCCACCAGTTCCTCTTCTTCGCCACCTGCTCCCTCGACCTCCTCCCGGTCTCCTATCACGGTTCCTAGAAAGTCAGCTTAAGTCCTTGTCCGATGCTCTCCCCTCTCTCCCCTCCTGTTTCCCACCCTCCCCCCATCCAGTTCCTCCTCTTTGCCACCTGCTCCCTCGACCTCATCCTGGTAACCCGCACGAACCTCAGGTTCGGCATCCCGGACCACGCGTTTGTGATCGGCGACCAGGCCTTTTCAGTAGCCATGGGTCGCGTGCAGATCATGCCACTGTTTGTGCTAGCAGCCCGCATGTGCCCCTCGGGAATCGAAGCCACTCTCTTTGCTTTCTACATGGCAACGAGTAACTTCGGGATTACGTGCTCTGAGTGGTGGGGAGCGGTGCTGCTGCACGCGGTGGGGGTGAGGAGGGATAGTTATGGGAACCTGTGGATGGCGGTTGTTGTGAGGATGTGTGCCAGGCTGCTGCCACTGCTGGCACTGGGGTTGCTTCCGGAAGGAGGGCCGGAGAGTGATGTAATTGAGCAGTTAGAGCTGGATGGGGAGGAGGAGGAGGAGGAGGAGGTGGGAGAGGGGGGAGGGGTTGAGGAGGCGGGAGGGAAGGAGGGAAGGGTTGGGGGAGTGGAGGCGGAAATGGGAGAGATGGGCGGGGAGGGGGAGGAGAGGAGCTTGTTGGGGAACGAGGGGAGGGATGGGGGGAAGGGGAGGGGGAGGGAGGGAGGAGGCGAGGTGAGGCTGAAGAGAGGAATGGTGAGGATGAAGCAGGAAGAACAGAGAGGGCTGGTGAGGAAACTAGAGTTTGACTTGGAAGAGGCGGCGGAGAGTGGAGCCGTAGGAGGGTGTTTTGAGACGTCTCAAAACAAGCAGGAGGAGCAGAGGGGGCTGGTGAGGAAACTGGAGTTTGATTTGGAAGAGGCGGCAGAGTGTGGAGCAGCAGGAGGAGAAGCATCGGTCGGAGCAGGTGGAACTAGTGTTGTCTATACTGCTGCTGCTGCTGCTGCGGTTGCTGCTGCTGCTGCTGCTGCTGGTGATGGTGATGGTGATGGTGATGGTGATGGTGATGCTGCTGCTGCAGCTCCTCCTGAAGGTGTTATTGAAGCTCGGGTAAACCAAGAAACGGAGTCTAGGCCATTGATAGAACTGGGCACTGCCCAATAGGGCTGCTCCACGTGGACAGTTGCAGGGAGCAAGAAGCAGCAAGCAAGGGCATGGATGATCTATTGGCAGAGAACTGGTACGGTAGCTAAAGGATGAAGTCTATAGGCGTTGCGATGGGAGGTGCGGAGGATACAGGCCTCAGATGCGACAAGGCAGCTACAACGTGGCTGCCAATGTCCATACTATTTATACGGTGCTGCCGGTATTGCCAAACCAATTACCGGTGGTACCTATGCCCCAGTTTGCAAGCAAGTGGGTCAGTTAGAAAGGAATGCTGCCTTGCCAACAGCAGGTCACTTGAGCTGCCTGCAGCAGACCAAGGCTTTCTGATTGTTTGCATGTATGTATCCCTGTCGTTAGTAGGTATGGTACCGTAATTTCAGTGCAGCACGCAGTGTCAGGAGAACTGATCTGATACCGTATGGATTGTGCTGACGCATTGTTATAGGGCTCTTGTATTGTTATAGGGCTCTTGCATTGTTATAGGGCTCTTGCATTGTTACAGGGCTCTTGCATTGTTACAGGGCTCTTCCATTGTTATAGGGCTCTTGCATTGTTATAGGGCTCTCGACACTAGTAATGACCTGTGGTTGTGATGCAAAGCAATTGATTGAAAGAGAACAGCGACCAATTTGGCGCACCCAATGTGGGTGCGTGCAGCAGCAGCTTGTTTCGGCACACAGAGGAAACAAAGAGGAAGCATGGCATGGCATGGCAGTATGATACAGGAGCGATGAATCCGCTGAGCATTAGCGTGGCTGGCACCAATACGGGCCGGCCTTGTATATCTTGAAAGGCAACCAGAGTTGCCGTTACTGTTTGCGAACAACCAGCCAGCACGAGGCAGCACAACACATGGTTGTTTATCACCTTTCCTCGTCTTCTCTTCTCTTCTCTTGGAAACCAATAGTTGAAATACGTAAGGGGAGCGGGCTAGAGGGACGGCAGGGAGGGAATACCGTACCAAACAGCCATTTCAGTGCAGCAGACCTGCTGCTGAAAGGTGGAAAGAGGAGAGAGCAAGTGGGAGAAAGCGAGAGGGAGAGATAGAGTGAGCAGGAGAAGAAGAGGGAGAAGAGATGAGTACAGCCTGCAAGAACTTCAGAGTGTGAGAGTGCCCAGCGACAGCCCGCCGCTTTTTGAGGCGCCTCAAACAGAGAAAAAAGATGAGGTAAGGAGTGCGCAAGAGCTTCAGAGCGTGAGAGTGGCCCAGGCAAGAGCATCCGTGTGCAGCAGCGACAGCCCATCCCAGTGCACAGCCTGCCGCTGCCGCCGCGCCTCCACACCGCTCCGCACCGCTCCATCCGCCCGCGCAGCCGCGCTCAACCCCTGGCCCAGCGGCAGCTTCTGCGGAATCAGCCAATGCCCACCATACACTCCCAGCAGCAACAACCCCTGGTTGAGAGCCAACAGCCGGAAGCCCTTCTGAGGGTAGGGCACCTGAAGCACATCCCACCACGTGGTTGTTTCAGGGTCAAATTCCCGGAGAGATGAGCCTATGTCTGCTACGGCAAAGAGGCGATTGTCTACGACTGCGAGGGAGCCAGGAAGGGACACGAGCAGCCATGCTGCCTCGATAATTGACCAGGAGAGGGAGCCGTCGGAACCTAGGGCGTGCCTCTCCTGCTCCTCCTGCTGCTGCTGCTGCTGCTGCTGCTGTTCCTGCTGTTGTTCCTCTTCCTCCTCCTCTCCTTTCCTCTCCTTTTTGCCCTCCTTGCTTTTGCGCCCCTCTTGCTCCTCCGGCTGCTCATGCGTAGTCTGCTCTCCGCACCTGCCTGTGCAACTTTCGGTGGTTGTGCTGCTAGAGCTCCCCAACACTCTCCCCGCACTCGCAACGCCACACGCACTTCCCTCCTCACGTGCCCCCTCTTGCTCCCCATCGTGTTGCCCCAATCTCCCCCCCTTCTCCCCGTCGTCTCTCAACTCTCCTCTAACCGCCTCCCCAGCCCCTACAGTCACACAAGTCTCTCCACCAGCCATTTTGCTCCTGGTATTCTCCCTCCCGCCTGCTCCCTCTCCCTCTTTCTCTCCCACTCCCTCACCTTCTCTCTCACCCTCCCCCTCACGCCCTATCTCTGTGCTTGAACCTTCCTCTCTCTCCCTCGCCATATCCTCCTCTTCCCGCCTCTCCTTTTCCCTCACTAGCCGCTCCAATCCATCCTCGCTAAGAGACATGGCTTCACAGCAAGACAGCGTCGTCGTTATAGTCGTCCCGTTATTAGCAATCCGATCCACCCCACTAAGCACCAAGAACTTCCCGCCGAACACTGTACCCAAACACTGCCCGCGCCTCCGGTTCAAACCAATCAACCTGTGCCACGTGTCCTTCTCAGAGTCGTACACCTCAGCGGATCGCAACGGCTCCCGCTTCGCGTCCCACCCTCCCGCGACGACCACGAACCGCCCAAACGTCCCGCACGCGAAGTTACTCCGCGCGTCCAGCATAGGCGCCGCGGCGGACCATCTCCCCGTCACCCCGTCGTACCGCCACACCGCGTTCTGCGTGTGATACGCGTCCGTCCCGACCGCGCCGCCGATCACGAGCACGAACCGCCCGCGACCCACTGTCGCCAGCTGGCAACCCCATAAGAAGTGTGACCTTATCGGATGCAGGCTAACGAGCGACGGAACGGACGGCGGCGGCAGCAGCGAGGGATCGAAGGCTTCTAAGCGGAACGGACGGTTGCCTCTTCCCCCCGCGAGTACGACGAGCCATTGCTCGTGTCGCCCTATCGCGCGGCGGAGGGTGAAGAACTCCTGCGAGCGGAGAAGAGAGCCCACGAGCGGCACACGGCGCGCGCGCAGCGGTGGCTGCGGCGCGGAAGGCGCGCGAGGCAGAGCCGCGCGACGTCGTCCGATAGGCCCGGAATGAGCGGCGGCGGTTGCTTTTCCTGGTCACTACAATCGTCGCTCGCCGCTTTGAGCTGCTGCGGCTGTTCCTGCTGCTGCTGCTGCTGCTGCTCGTTGTTATCGCGAAGCCCGTCCGATGCTGTTGCTCCCGACACGGCACCCTCCGCGCGGCACGGCGGCTCGAGCGCCTCACCGCACGGAGCGTGCTTCCAAAGCAGGGAACCTTGTTCATCCGTACCGCTCTCCACCGCATCGTCCTCTCCAAGCAACGAACCCCGTGGGTGAATTCTCAGCAACGCTTCTGCTTCATCTGATCCCCCTGTGGCTGATAGATTCCCCCGGCCCAAGTTTGGAACGGTTTCCAGATCGGAACTACGTTCCGTAATTTCGCCGCCTTTCCCGTCACTCGGTCGAGCAGCCTCCGTCCCCCTTGCGGCTTGCGCCACAATCCCGCCCTCTTCTTCTGCCATCGTCAAACCCGATTTTGCCGCCGTTATACCCGCTTCCGCCACCATTCGAACGTATTTTACCTCTTGTGCTCTAGTACGCGCAGGAAATTTCCCTATCTCAACAGCAGCGCTGAATCTGTTGTCGGAAGAGGTATTGGCAGCGAGGAGGGCGGCGTCGGAGAGCGCAGGAGCCATGCATGAACAGCGAGCAGGGCGGCTCGTGAGGAGGCAACCCTGTCCGTCTGGTGCTAGTACACGAAGCAAGAGGGAGGGAGCATGAGGAAAGAATGATGGGGTGGAATGGTGGAAAGTTGGCACACCCCTTTGTCACCACAGCAAGCTGTACTTTACTTCAAATCGGTTCAGAGGGTTGTGGGTACGTTGGTACTCTACTTACAGCATCTTTGTTCGGTTTCATGCGTTACCAAGGGGAAGAGAGGGTACCAACCGCGCAGAAACAAAACAAAACTAGTGAAAAAAACTGTCGAAGGTGCACGTACGCGATACAGAAGTTATCACAGGTGTAATCATAGGCACTCTAAATACTAAAGCATTTCGTATAAATGTGTACGCACGTGACAATGCATTATTCAATTCACATACAGTAACTTGAAGACACCAAATTTAGTTTAGCGCATGCAATACTCCCTCATTCAGAGACAGCTTTCTGTTATTCAGTTGACGCAATAAGTAGAACCTCAGGCGGAAAATAATAACAGATGGTAGTGGTCATGAGGCAATGAAATAGGCTCCATTTCTATCGGCGCCCTTCCTTTTTCACTTGTAGCTATGGTATCTGTGCAAATAGTTCGAGAAATGTAGCGATATTATAACACAGCCGCGCTTGTACTGTAAACGCTGCAAGGGAAGGCCGACGGTTGACCGGAACGTCAGGTTCGCGCTTTGGAGCTCGTGTCAGACCTCAGGTCAGCTCAGCTGACACGAATTCTGAGTCTAGGAGGGGTAGGTGCGCCCGGAGTTGAAATACATAAGACTGACTTGAATTGACTACAACTCACGAATACGCCCTCAGGTTATGCACTGCCGTGTTGTGCTTTTGCTGATGCTGCTGTTCCGCCAGCCCAAACAATAATTACTCGCACATACACTAGTGAGGCTTTTAGGATCACCTGGCCGCATCCTGCGGAATGCTGGGATTAGCGGCAGAGGCCTAGTCACAGGATGGTCCTGGCCGGCTGAGCCAAAGTCCTGCATTGTGGATGCACGCAATGCCGCCGATGTCATCGTTTAGAGCTATTCGTGGCAAACCCAGTCATAGAATCTCATTATAAACTTTCGCATTGTTACCTCAGCCGTAGAATCTGATACCCGCACGTCGCATGCAGACGACCCACGCAGAGCCTTTCGTCCGCTAGCCCTTTTTCCCTCCTATGTACCCTGATTAATTTACACGTAACGAGTATTTGATTCGTTAGCTCCGCTCTTCAAAAGCGAGAATACGACTTGCGTCCATCCTCGCTTGCCGCCTCGGCGCAACATTGCCGTCCAGCCGTAGCGACAGTTCACCCTACGCAGCCCATCCTCCATACAAGTGTTCGTAGAGACGCTCTGATCGAATCTCGCGAATCTGTTAGCGACGCTCTCGAGTACCTCGCGTTTTTCTTCGTTGTCTGCTGCCCACCCGGTCGTCGTCGCGATGTTGCTGGAAATGGTCCGCGTGTCGCCCGACGATCTCCACCTGCCGTGTACGCACCCGCTCCGGCTCCGTCGCCTCCTCATCGCATCGCCTCGTTCCCTCCCTTCCGCCCTCTCCCCCCCTCTCTTCCCCATCCCTCCTGTCCACTCGGCCCGTGTCCTCTGCGTTTCTCGGCGCATCGCGCTAACTCTCGCGCTCGTTGCAGATCCAAGCATGTCGTCCGTCCCCTCATTCTCTCCCATCGCTACCCAGGCACCGTCCGAACCCCTTTCATGCAAGTCGTGACTCTTGAAATGTCCCGAAACGCTTATGCGGTCGCTACGCGTTTACCCAGCACTGTTTAGTCTTTCCCCTTGTGCAACTCAACCCATTCTCACACCCTTCCGCTCTCTTTCCCCGCCCGTGGCCCTGTTACCCCCCCTCCCCGCGCCTCTGTGTTTGCCTCTCCGGTGCTGCTGCTGCCGCTCTCTCTGTTGCGGTGTGCCGTGTGCCGCGTGCCACCCTGCCTGCCTGCCTGCCGCTCTGGTGCTCTCTCTGTCGTGTGGGTGCGGCGCTCTGTCGCTGCGTGCGTGCGTGTGCATCTGGCGGCAGTCGAGGCGGGCAGGAGTCTGGAGTGCGACATGCATATTACCAACGTCACCTCGCACACCGTCCTTGCCAAGGCACGCTCCTCCTCACCTCGCCTCGCTCGCTCCCCCTCGCTTTCCCTCGCTCTCCCTCGCTCTCTCGCGCTTTCCAGCACCCCTGCTCGCGTGATGCGCGGAGGCAAGGCTGTACCTCGCCAATCCATCCATCCATCTCGCGCTTCTCTCTTTCGCAACGCAGCCTCCGCTCTTTGTGCTCTGCTCTGCGGCACGCCTTAGACACAATAGGATGACGTTTGGGTCGCTGCTCAGTTAGAGGCGAGGCGTTACCATCGTCGTGTGTGCATGCCTTGCCGCCCTGCTGCCTTCCCTCCCTCCCTCCCCTCACCACCAGCTGCTGCCCAGCAATCCGCGGCGCTACAAGTTCTCATCAGGCCCCAAGCTGCTGCTGCCGCCCTACTCCATCGCAGACATCAGAGGTACGGTGGACGGAGAGAGGAGGGGAAGGGGACGAGCAGGGAAGGACAAAGGGGGAGGGAGAACGAAAGGAACTACCCCATTGAAGACATCAGAGGTACGGTGCGCGGAGGGAGGAGGGAGAGAAGAGGAGCAAGGAAAGGGAAGGGGGGAGGGGAGGGAGAAAGAAAGCAACTAGGGCCTGCCGAGGATGAGTGGAGAGTGAAGTGAAGGACTCGAAGGAATGACTAGCGTGTTGCGTTTTTGAAAAGACCAGTCACCAGATGCAAATAGCGTTCCTTGTTAGGTAAGGACGCTCCTATGTTTCCGCAGACTTCCATCTCCTCCTTCCCCTCCTTCCACTCCAGGGTAGCGGCTTGCAGCAATCAAACGCGTTCTTATCGACGCGACATCCCTCCATCCCCACCATATCCACCTTCAATTCTTGTCCTCTCTGTTCCATAATAAGCTATTCTCTCCTTCCCACCGCCGTCTCTTCCGTTTTTCTGCTTCCTCACCTGCACCTGCAATGCCCTGTGATGCACTCCTTGTAGTTCATGCTTTGTAATACCATTCACTGCGTCTCTCTTCCTCCTCCCCGCGTTTCCCTCCCTCTCTCCTCCCCTCTCTTCCCGTCCCCTCCCCTCTCAACTCATCTCCTCTTCCCGCCCCTCCCCTCGCATCCCACTTTCCCCTGCCCCGTGCCTCTCTCCCGTGCATGGCAGTGACGTGTGAGCCGTTGCGAGCGAGGCCGTACTGGAATGACAATATCAATGTGGAGTGCTACCGTGCTGCTGATGACGCCCTGCCGCTCTCCCTCGACAATGTAACCACGCCTGCCTCCTATTGCTGCTGCGCCTCCTCGTCCTGCTGCCATTGCTACTGCTGCTGCTGCTGCTGCTGCCGCCGCCGCCGCCGCCGCCGCTGCTGCTGCTGCTGCTGTCACGCACTCATTCCCCCCACCACCAAACTCCCCTCCTCACCCCCTCTCTCCTCTCCCTCCTTTCCAGGACGCGGCACCGCTAGTCGGAGTTGCCAAGCTGCGCGTGCCAGTGCTCTTTCAGGACACAGGTGCCAGTGGCAGTGGGATCCCCTCCTCCTCCTCCTCCATCTTCTCCTCCTCCTCCCTCTCTCGTGTCGCCAACGTCAGCATCAGCGGGAGTGCGAGTGCGAGTGCGAGTGCGAGTGCGAGTGCAAGGGCGTTGGTAGCGAGTGGCAGTGGGCGCACGGACAGTGCCAGCAGCAGTGTGCTCAACTCTGCATGCGATGATTTTATCGATGGGGCTCTCAGCATGGTGTGTGTGTGCGTGTGTGCGTGTGTGTGTGTGTGTGTGTGTGTGTGTGTGTGTGTGTGTGTGTGTGTGTGTGTTATGCGTGTGTGTGCGCGCACGCGCGAGTGTGTGTGTGTTAGTGCGGGTTTAGCACCATGTGTGGGGGGACCAACGTGTGTAGGTGGGTGGGTGTGCATGTGAGCGTGCACGAGCATACCATCGCACCTCCTCTCTCTTGCCTGTCCCCTCCCCCTTCTTCCTTCTCGTCTTCTTGCCCTCATCCCCTTTCGCCCTCCTTCCATTCTCGTCCTTCTTATGTACCCTCCTCCCTCTGCCCTTTCCCCCAAATCCCCTTCATATCATCCCCTCTCTTGTTCCACTCTACTCATGCCCCCTTCTGCCTCACCTCTCGTCTGTCTGCCCCATCGCCCCCATCCGATCATCACGTGCTGTGCGAGCACAGAGGGAGGCGCAGGTGAAGCATCGGGACGAGTTCCTATCGGAGCTGGGTCAGGCCCTCACAGACAGCAAGAAGCAGGCCGCAGCTGTAAGTTGTGGGTTAAGAGGCGGCTCTTGAGGCGCCTCAAAAGGGATGCGTTCCTATCGGAGCTGGGTCAAGCCCCCTCACAGACAGCAAGAAGCAGGCCGCTGCTGTACGCCCCTTCTGCCCTCCCTCGCTTCTCTCTCCTTCTGCTCTCCGTCGCTCCCTCCTCTCTTCTTCCTCCCTCTCTCCTCTCTCCCTCGCTTGCTCGTTCCCTCCCTCCCCACCTCCCTCCCTCCCTCCCTCCCTCCCTCCCTCCGTTCTCCCAGATTCCTTTCTTCTTGTTTGCCATACCCGCCCCATTTCCCCTTTCCCTTCCGCCCTTTCATTTTCTCGTGCTCTCGCACACGCACACAACACAATGCACACCTGTGTTTGTACATGCCACGCAACCACCCCTGCCAGTCACCCCGCTGTCCGCTGCTTTCTCTTGTTCCCTCATCCCATGAACTCCGTTGCTGCTCGTTTCCCCTTATTTCCGTGCCCCCCCCCACTCCTTTTCCCCCATCCGTCTCGCATCTCCCGATTTTCTCTGCTCCGGCCTCCCCCGTCTCATCGCGGCACACTGCACCACACTGCACTGCACCGCACTGGACCGTACTGCAGCTACTACACGAGGTGGAGGAGCTAAAGTGGCAGCTGGGGCAGGAGCAACACCAGAACAAGCACCTCAAGTCACGTGTGGTGGGTGCTTGGGTTGGGCTGGGTGGGGTTGGGTGCAATAGGGTGCCCTCACATGGCCAGACCAGCAATGCACTGCTCTGTGGGAAAGTTACAGTCTGATCTGAGGAGCTTAAAATGACTGGTTGGACGGTGTGGGCCCCCCCCCCACATCGCTCATATCGCATGACATGGCCCTACAGGGAGGGTTGTTCTTGGTTAGGATGATCCCTCTGCTGTTCTGCTGTGGGTTGTGGCTTGCTGTGAGTTGATTCCGCTTGTGCTCACTGTCTTGTTCTCTCTTGTAGTACTTGCCTTGCTAGTGCTGCGCAGCAGTTTCAACTCTCCCCGTTTATTCCCTCGTCCTAGGCCACCGTCCCCCCCAAGCCTGCTCGTATTTTGAACAGCCTGTGCATGCCTGTGCATGCCTGCGCGTGCCTGCGCGTGCCTGCGCATCTTCCCCATTGTCCCGCTCCCGTCTGCGTGTGTGCTGCTGCGTGTGTGCTGCTGCACCCCCTGCAGGCGGACTATGAGGCGTTGGGGAGGGGAGATGGGACAGTATGTGGGGATGACCGTATAGAGGTGCTGCGCTCACACCTTGCAGAGGCAGAATGGAACGCGGAGCAGGTGAGAGACATGCTGCCTGCTGTGCTGTGCTGTGTTTCAAGTTGGCTCGGAACAAGCGCAGGGGGTCAGGCTGTGTGGGTGAGTGTGTAGGGGTGCTGCGCTCACAGAGGCGGAATGGGACGCACAGCAGGTGAGACACGCGGCTACTGCTACGTGATTGATTGGTCGGTGGCTGCTGCAGCATGAATGTATCGAAATGTTACTGCTGCGCCCATGCATGCGCTATCTATCAATCTGCCCAGGCCGTTCCCATCCCCACTGCCCTCCCGTGCACCCATGCATGCAGGCAGCTACAGATGTGTGGGAGAGGGACAAGGAGATGTAGTTTGAGGCGCCTCAAAATACTTCCCATCCCCACTGCCCTCCTGTGCACCCATGCATGCAGGCAGCTACAGATGTGTGGGAGAAAGATAAGGAGATCAAGGACCTCAAGGCCAAGCTGGTCAGTCAGTGCACCCACCCGTCCATCCTTCCTCCTCTTTGACCTACTAATTTGACGGGCGCAACGTATTGGTGGGTTGGGATGTGTGTGGGAGAGGGGCAAGGCGATGAAGGACGTCAAGGCCCGGCTGGTCGGGTTCGTTTCATCCCTCCAATGCTGCTTGCATTGCCTTGAGTTGCTGTTGAGAGTCCTTGATAAGGAGAACGAAGAGGTGAGGGAGAGGGACAAGGAGATCAAGGACCTCAAGGCCAGGCTGGTCAGTTCCGTTCCGTCCCTCCAATGCTGTTCTGAGTTGCTGTTGAGAGTTCTTAATAAGGAGAAGAGAGGCCAAGGACCTCAAGGGCAGGCTGGTCAGTTCCGTCCCTCCAATGTTGCTTTGAGTTGCTCCTGAGAGTCTTTGATAAGGAGAAGAGATGTGAGGGAGAAGAGAGGCGAGGGAGAAGAGAGGTGAGGGAGAAGAGAGGTGAGGGAGAAGAGAGGTGAGGGAGAAGAGAGGTGAGGGAGAAGAGAGGCGAGGGAGAAGAGAGGCGAGGGAGAAGAGAGGTGAGGGAGAAGAGAGGTGAGGGAGAAGAGAGGTGAGGGAGAAGAGAGGTGAGGGAGAAGAGAGGTGAGGGAGAAGAGAGGTGAGGGAGAAGAGAGGTGAGGGAGAAGAGAGGTGAGGGAGAAGAGAGGTGAGGGAGAAGAGAGGTGAGGGAGAAGAGAGGTGAGGTGGGTGGTGCTGCAGGAGGAGGAAGTCGGACAATCCTCTTCCAAACGCCGCAACACCCTTCCCCAATGCTCAAACGCTCTGCACCTTCCCCCAGGCGTCTATGGAGCTGGAACTGCAGGCCATGACAGAGCGGGAGGAGGCGGTGGTGGCGCTGCAGGAGCGCACGGAGGAGAAGCGGGCGGGGCTAGAGGAGGAGCTAGCGCAGGTGCAGGAGGAGATGCAGCGCGTCACACGGCGCAAGGCTGACATGGAAGCAGACATGCGCAGACGCCTGACAGAGGCGGTGAGTGCGACAGGCGTAGTAGCGAGTAGGGAGGAGTATGTCGGGAGGGGAGGGGGGTTGAGAGGGGTGCGGTGCGCCCAGGTGGCGAGAGTGAGGTAGATGCAAGGAGAGGTGCGTTTTGAGTCGAGTCAAATGACAGCAGCAGGAGCGGACGGAGGAGAAGCGCGAGGGGCTAGAGGAGGAGCTAGCGCAGGTGCAGGAGGAGATGCAGCGCGTCACTCGGCGCAAGGCTGACATGGAAGCAGACATGCGCAGACGCCTGACAGAGGCGGTGAGTTGAGAAGAGGGGAGGGGGGGGGGGAAGATTAGTGGTGAGATTTGAGTTGACTAGAAAGGCAGGTGCAGGAGCAGATGCAGCGCGTGGGGCAGCATGCGGAGGCACGTGGCAGAGGCGGTGAGTGCGAGGGGTGGAGCCGGGTATTGCACAGAAAGGGGGCATGGGGATGAGGAGGGAGCAAGGTGGATTCGGGTCATGGTTGGTCGTGTGGGTTGGCCAGTGGCATTGGCAAGTGTGCTTGCGACTTTCCCTTGCCTCCCCCCTGCCCTCCTTCCCCTCCCTCGTCTTCCCTCTTCCGCTCGCCTTTCCCCCCATCCTCGCAGGAATCGGCCTTGGCAGCAGCGCAGGTGCGCGAGAAGGGACTGTGGTTGCAGAAGCCATGCTGCAGGTGCTTTCCCCCCTTCCCAACACCACCCCCCCCTCCCCATCCTCGCAGGAATCAGCGTTGGCAGCAGCGCAGGTGCGCGAGAAGGGGTTGGAGGAGCGGCGCAGGGCAGCGGTGGCGGAGGAGAGGAGGCTCAAGGCGCGCATGCTGGAGCTCAAAACAGAGGTGGCGCGCGCTGGCACTCACAGCACCACGTCCTTCAAGGCTGTTGCTCAGGTGCTGCCTGTTTGGGGTGCTGCTGGAAGGAAATGCGGCAGGTGGGATAGGACTGGGGGTGGGGGTGCTGCCTGTGGGGATGCCTACTGTGGTGGGGGCAGGTGGGGTGCTGCCTGGTGGGGAGGGACAGGTGGGTGAGGGTGCTGGCTGGGGGTGGAGAGCAGGTCGGTAGGCCTGGTTGCTCTGGGGGGGGCAGGTGGGTGGGAATGCATGCAGTGCTGTGTGTGTGCCTCGTCCTTTGTTCTGTATAGTACAACCTTTTCTCCATTTCATCTCCCTTGTGAGCGATTTTTGAGAATTTTCAAAAATCTCCTACCTTTGAGTGTGGGGGGTGTTTCCTCTACAATCTCCTCAACTCCTCATCTTCTCATCTCCTCATCCCTCCATCGCGGCGCGGGTGTGAGCGTGCAGGTGGCAGCTCTGCGGTTCCAGAAGGAGCGGCTGCTGCGGGAGAAGGAGAACCTCGAGAAGAAGCTCAAGGTGAGTAAGGGCAGGCCCGCAGGGTGGGAAGGGGGAATGTAGTGGAAGGAAGAATGTGGTGCAGAGGGACTATGCAGGGTGCAGAGGTGCGGTGGTGCAACGTACAGAGGGGTGGCTTGCTTGTGCACTGGCTGTGTGGTGTGTTCTGGGCCAGGCCAGGCCAGCTTGTTGTGTCCCAAGCCAAGGGAAGCAAGCAAGCACGCCTGGCATGCACGCACACACACACGCACACACACACACGCACACACACGCACACACACACACACACACACACGCACACGCACACACACACACACACACGCACACACGCACACACACACGCACACACACGCACACACACACACACACACACACGCACACGCACACACACACACACACACGCACACACATGCACACGCACGCACACGCACACACAGGCACACACACGCACACGCACGCACACGCACACACACGCGCACACACGCACACGCACACACACGCACACACGCACACGCACACACACGCACACACGCACACGCACACACACACACACACACACGCACACACGCACACACACACACACACACACACGCACACACGCACACACGCACGCATGCCATGGCCTTGGAGCCAACTTTTGAGCCGCGTCAGAAGTGTTCTGGGCCAGGCCAGCTTGTTGTGTTCCAAGCCAAGGGAAGCAAGCAAAAACCCTGGGCACGCATACACACGCACGCACGCACGCACGCACGCACACGCACGCACGCACACGCACACACACGCACACGCACGCACACGCACGCACACGCACGCACGCACACGCACACACGCACGCACACGCACACGCACGCACACGCATGCACACGCACACACGCACACACACGCACACGCACGCACACGCACACGCACGCATGCCATGGCCTTGGAGCCAACTTTTGAGGCGCGTCAGAAGTGTTCTGGGCCAGGCCAGCTTATTGTGTTCCAAGCCAAGGGAAGCAAGCAAAAACCCTGGGCACGCATACACACGCACGCACGCACGCACGCACGCACACGCATGCACTCACACGCACACACACGCACACACACGCACGCACGCACGCACGCACGCACACGCACACACACGCACACACACGCACGCACGCACGCACACACGCGGACACACACACGCGCGTGCACACACACGCCATGGCCTTCCAGCCACAAGAACCAACCTCTTTCCCGCATCCTTGGGTGTGTTCCTCCTCCGTTTCACTCCTTGGCTCGCCTGCACTCCCTCCGCCTCATCTGCCTCCTCCTGTGCCCTCTCCCACGTACATACATGGTACATACATGTGCATATGTATATAGATGTATAAACACATCATACATACACAGTAAAACACAGATGCATATAGACACATCTAGCCGTCCATCCATACGTCCATTCCAAATCCCTGTTGAATCTGGCTTGTGTGCTGTGCGTGCAGGAGGCAACAGGGGAGGGTGCAGGGGCTGCGGTGGCAGTGGCAGCAGTCGCAGCGGAGGCAAGCAATGAGACTATTCAGAAGCTGGAGCAGGAGCTGGTGAGTGCTGCTGTGTGCATGAGTATGGGTACGGCCCTGGGTGCAGGCACATGCACCCATGCACATGCACAGGTACGTGCGCATGCACGTGCGCACATGCACATGCACACATGCACATGCACATGCACATGCACATGCACACATGCACACATGCACACATGCACACATGCACGCAATGCACATGGACACAAGCACACACATGCACCCCCTTCGCGCCCCTCCCAGGTACACACGCAGGAGATGCTGGAAGCAGAGAGAAGCGCAGCAGCAGAGGCAGTGGCACAACGAGAGGCGATGAGGGGAGAGGTGGAGGAGCTGAGACGGGAAGTGGAGGCACTGAGTGTCCGCAGCAAGGAGGAGGCAGACGGGCAGCAAGCAGAGGAGCAGGATCCCGTGAGTGGGTGCGGAGGGAGAGGGGGGGAGTCTATTTTTGAGTCGACTTAAAATAGACTTATCACACAGGGGCAGACGGGCAGCAAGCAGAGGAGCAGGATCCGGTGAGTGGGTGCGGAGGGAGAGGGGGGGAGTCTATTTTTGAGTCGACTTAAAATAGACTTATCACACAGGGGCAGACGGGCAGCAAGCAGAGGAGCAGGATCCGGTGAGTGGGTGCGGAGGGAGAGGGGGGGAGTCTATTTTTGAGTCGACTTAAAATAGACTTATCACACAGGGGCAGACGGGCAGCAAGCAGAGGAGCAGGATCCGGTGAGTGGGTGCGGAGGGAGAGGGGGGGAGTCTATTTTTGAGTCGACTTAAAATAGACTTATCACACAGGGGCAGACGGGCAGCAAGCAGAGGAGCAGGATCCGGTGAGTGGGTGCGGAGGGAGAGGGGGGGAGTCTATTTTTGAGTCGACTTAAAATAGACTTATCACACAGGGGCAGACGGGCAGCAAGCAGAGGAGCAGGATCCGGTGAGTGGGTGCGGAGGGAGAGGGGGGGAGTCTATTTTTGAGTCGACTTAAAATAGACTTATCACACAGGGGCAGACGGGCAGCAAGCAGAGGAGCAGGATCCGGTGAGTGGGTGCGGAGGGAGAGGGGGGGAGTCTATTTTTGAGTCGACTTAAAATAGACTTATCACACAGGGGCAGACGGGCAGCAAGCAGAGGAGCAGGATCCGGTGAGTGGGTGCGGAGGGAGAGGGGGGGAGTCTATTTTTGAGTCGACTTAAAATAGACTTATCACACAGGGGCAGATGGGCAGCAAGCAGAGGAGCAGGATCCGGTGAGTGGGTGCGGAGGGAGAGGGGGGGAGTCTATTTTTGAGTCGACTTAAAATAGACTTATCACACAGGGGCAGACGGGCAGCAAGCAGAGGAGCAGGATCCGGTGAGTGGGTGCGGAGGGAGAGGGGGGGAGTCTATTTTTGAGTCGACTTAAAATAGACTTATCACACAGGGGCAGACGGGCAGCAAGCAGAGGAGCAGGATCCGGTGAGTGGGTGCGGAGGGAGAGGGGGGGAGTCTATTTTTGAGTCGACTTAAAATAGACTTATCACACAGGGGCAGACGGGCAGCAAGCAGAGGAGCAGGATCCGGTGAGTGGGTGCGGAGGGAGAGGGGGGGAGTCTATTTTTGAGTCGACTTAAAATAGACTTATCACACAGGGGCAGACGGGCAGCAAGCAGAGGAGCAGGATCCGGTGAGTGGGTGCGGAGGGAGAGGGGGGGAGTCTATTTTTGAGTCGACTTAAAATAGACTTATCACACAGGGGCAGACGGGCAGCAAGCAGAGGAGCAGGATCCGGTGAGTGGGTGCGGAGGGAGAGGGGGGGAGTCTATTTTTGAGTCGACTTAAAATAGACTTATCACACAGGGGCAGACGGGCAGCAAGCAGAGGAGCAGGATCCGGTGAGTGGGTGCGGAGGGAGAGGGGGGGAGTCTATTTTTGAGTCGACTTAAAATAGACTTATCACACAGGGGCAGACGGGCAGCAAGCAGAGGAGCAGGATCCGGTGAGTGGGTGCGGAGGGAGAGGGGGGGAGTCTATTTTTGAGTCGACTTAAAATAGACTTATCACACAGGGGCAGACGGGCAGCAAGCAGAGGAGCAGGATCCGGTGAGTGGGTGCGGAGGGAGAGGGGGGGAGTCTATTTTTGAGTCGACTTAAAATAGACTTATCACACAGGGGCAGACGGGCAGCAAGCAGAGGAGCAGGATCCGGTGAGTGGGTGCGGAGGGAGAGGGGGGGAGTCTATTTTTGAGTCGACTTAAAATAGACTTATCACACAGGGGCAGACGGGCAGCAAGCAGAGGAGCAGGATCCGGTGAGTGGGTGCGGAGGGAGAGGGGGGGAGTCTATTTTTGAGTCGACTTAAAATAGACTTATCACACAGGGGCAGACGGGCAGCAAGCAGAGGAGCAGGATCCGGTGAGTGGGTGCGGAGGGAGAGGGGGGGAGTCTATTTTTGAGTCGACTTAAAATAGACTTATCACACAGGGGCAGACGGGCAGCAAGCAGAGGAGCAGGATCCCGTGAGTGGGTGCGGAGGGAGAGGCGGGGGAAGCGGGGAAGATGGGGAGGGGAGAAGCAAAAGGGGAAAGGGGAAAGAGGAGAGGTGGGGGAGAGGGGAAGGGAAGAGGTTGGGGGTGAGGTGGGGAGGAGGAGGGGTGAGGGGCTGCGTTTGCATAGGGATAGGGGTGGGGTTGCGGGCTGGCACTTGAGGGGAGGTCTTAGTTCCTTGCCTTGTAGATCCATTGGCTTCCACATGCCCTGCTGAACCCTCTCGCCCTCTGTGTGTGTGTGTGTGTGTGTGGGAGGGGGGGGGGGGGGGGGGGGGGGGGGGGGGGGGGCATGTGTGGCCATGTTTGCGTGTGCGTGTGCATGCGTGTGTGTTCATGCGTGTGTGTGAATGCTTATGTGTGCGTGCATGTGTGTGCATGCATGTGTGCTTACGCATATGTGTGCATTCATGTGCGTGCATGTGCGTGCCTGTATATGCATGCACATGTCCGCATGCATGTGTGCGCATGCATGTGTGTGCGTGCTTGTGTGTGCTGCGTGCATTTGTGTGCATGCGTGCGTGGACATGCATATGTGCGCATGCATGTGTGCACATGCGTACGCGTGCGTGCATGCATGTGCGTGCATGCCACACGTGAAGCAGATCGCGAGTGCATCGGAGGAGGAGTTGAGGGAGCAGCTGCAGAGTGCATTGGAGCAGTGGGAGAAGACCAAGAACTTCGTGAGTACAGCCCAAGCCAAGCCAACGGGATAAGATGAGACTTAGCTGGGGCGGGGTGGGATAGGAAGGATTGAGTGGAAAATGAGGGGTATGCGTATTTGTATGTGCTTAGTTGTGGGTGTGATGTGGGTGTATGACTGTTTGTGTGTGTGAGTGGGGAGCTGTTAGCGAGCGAGAGAATGGGACCATTTGAATCAATCAATATGAGGACCAATTGAGAAAAAGGGGCCGCGTATTGTAATGTTCTTCACTCGAAGCCTGCAAGTGCGACATCCCGTCTGTCCTCTCTTCCTTGCCCCTTATGTGCCCCTCCTTCCCTCTTTCCCCTCCTTTCTCCACTCCTGTCCTTTGCCCTCCCTATTCCCCTTCGCGCTCTCTGTGTCCCCATGACCACTGCCAGTCCCGCCTCCTTCAGGGGCAGGTGTTTGAGCAGAAGAAGCGGATCAGAGAGCTCGAGGTATGCTCTCGCTGCCGTTCCATTCCCGTTCTTTCTCATTCATTCGTCTGACTGATTCCCTCGCTCGCTCGCTTGCGTTTCCAACGCAACACCCAAACCTTGTTGGGTGCTGGGCTGCCCACTGGTGCACAATTGCTTCTGACTGACCGTGCCTGTTTCTTACTAGCTTCGGCTTCGGCATGCCTTCAAAGCGCATAAACATCTGCCTGTTTCTTCTCTCATTGTCCATACCACCACTTACCATCCACACCACCACTCACCCATCCACACCACCACTCACCCACCCAACCCCGAGAAACCCGACACTATACCCTGCCATTCTCTCCTCTGCATGTCTCAGGAGGAACTCAGGCGGACAGAGGCCGGCCCACTCAAGGAGCGCCTGGGGAAGGTGAGATGAAATGAAATGACTTCTGAGTCGACTCAATAATCTGCACGTCACAGGAGGAACTCATGCGGTCACAGCCCGCTCAAGGAGAGCCTGGGGAAGGTGAGATGAGAGCGGGCTGCTGCGCAAGGGAATGGATGAAAAGGGTAGTTGCTCGGTTGAGAGTGGCTCAGTGTGGTTCCTGAGCGTTGAGGTCAAGATGGGGGTTTAGCTTGGGTGGTTGGTGGGGGAGGAGGAGAAACTGAAAGGATTTCAGTTTAACCCGGTAGATCTGAAAGGGTTTGAACGTCGTTCCGCCTTTATGCGATTGCTCCGCCTTCATATGATTGCTGTTCCATGTTTTTGCGGCAAGCGTCACTTTTTTCTCCTTGCTTGACTTCCCCTCCACCTCCCCCACCTCTTTCTCTTTCAACCCCTTTCACCCCCTTTCACCCCTTCTTACCCCCTTACACCCTGCTTACCCCGTTCACCCTTTCACCCCTTTCCACCGCCGTTCACCTGGGAGCAGGTGGAGGAGGAGGCGCGAGCACTTGGGCAGTATGTGGAGCAGCTGGAGCGGGAGAAGGCCCAGGTGCGATTCAGTCATAACTCTCTGAGAGAATTCTACAGTTCCAGCAGCTCAAGCAGTTTGTGTAGTCATAAATCTCGGAGAGCAGCAGTTGTGTGGTTTAGACTTCAGCAAAAGAACAATAGCGGTACTCGCTCGGGCAGTATGTGGAGCAGGTGGAGCGGGAGAGGGCACAGGTGCGATACGATTCAGTCATAACTCTCAGAGAGCAGCAGTTGTGTGGGCTAGGCTTGAGCAAAAGAACAATAGCGGTACTCGCTATGTAAAACTAAGCGCGCGCTAGGGCAGAATGTGGAGCGGGTGGAGCGGGAGAGGGCACAGGTGCGATACGATTCAGTCATTATTCTCAGAGAGCAAAAGAACAACAGCGGTATTCGCTGGGGCAGTATGTAGAGCAGGTGGAGCGGGAGAAAGGCACAGGTGGGACGGGGCGAGGGGGGCCCAGGGGGGGCGAGGGGCGAGGGGCAAGGGGCGAGGGAAAGGGGGAGAGGGAAGAGGGAAGAGGGAAGAGGGGGGAGGGGAGGAGGTTTACAGTGGCGAAATGAGATGAGATGTTTTCCACAGGGTTACCAAGCAAACTCGTGCGGGGCAAGGCAAGGTGTCAAGTTCGACGAAACTAGTGGTTGCGGTTGTTTCCTATGCCACCACTCAACTCGCTTGCTGCCCCCTCCCAACCCAACATGCTCTTTCTGCCCCTATGCCGCCATGCCCCTATGCCGCCATGCCCCTATGCCCCCATGCCCCTATGCCGCCATGCCCCTATGCCGCCATGCCCCTATGCCCTGCCCCACATGCCCTCCCCCCCCCCTGCCCCACATGCCCTTCCCCCATCTTGAACCTGCAGGGCGGGGCGGACCCAGCAGAGGTGGAGGCACAGAGGGCGAACCTGCAGGCCATGCGGGAGGAGGTGGGGCAGCGGCGCATGGAACATGAACACCTCATGCAGGAGCTGGTACGCGGATACTAAGAGGGGAGGGGGGGATGGGAGATAGGGAAGGGTGAGCGCATCGGAGGGGGGAAGGGGAACGGGGTGTGGAAGGGAGGTGGGGCAGCGGCGCATGGAGCACGAACACCACATGCAGGAGCTCGTATGCTCACACGTGGGGGGTGGGGAGGGGGGATGGGGGGTTGGTGCGTGCACAAAGGGGGGAAGAGTGGGTGGGGGGAGCTGCTTGCGTTGCCTTCCTTCCATGCCTGCCGTCCTCCACAACCCTCTCCCCCATGCTCCTCGCTCCTCTTCCCCCTTTGAGCGCAGAACACTATGCTATGCACTGCAACCATCAGTAGCAGCTCGCCTTATGAGTCATCTCAAAAGCCTTCCACAATCCTCACCCATATGGTCCTCATTGCTTTTCCCATGAGCAGAACGTGATGCACCGCAACCATCAGGAGCAACTCACCGAGGCGTGTTTTGAGACGTCTCAAAACTCGCCCTACGAGATGTCTCAATCAAGAACTCTCTACAACTCTCTCCCATACGTGCCTCACTCCTTTCCCTTTGAGCAGAACGTTATGCACCGCAACCATCAGGAGCAACTCGCCGAAGCTCACCGCCAGGTATGGGAGGGTGTTCTGAAAATTCTTAGAAGAGCACCACGCTTGGATCTAAGAATCACGAAATCACGTGTGGTTTTGTACTCGATCTCGTGTGTGTTAAAGCTCGAGCTCCGCACCTGGCATCTAAGTTTGAGGAGCCTAAAACAGTAAATTCTCCTCCTCACTGCACCTGGCGTCCTTTGAATTCAGTACCTTTTGAGGCGCTTTGAATTTAGTACCTTTTGAGGCGCCTTGCGAGTCCTTCTGATCGGCATCCAATCGCCTCTCCTCTCTGCATGTGTCCCCTTCGCCTGTCGACTCCTTCATCCACGTCAGCAGATTCCTTCCTCACCCCTTCCCTCCCCTCCCCTCCTCTCCCCTCCCCTCCCTTCCCCCCCCCCTCCCCTCCCCTCTCCCTCCTCCTCCCCTTCCTTTCACCTTCTTTCCCCCCTCTTCCCCGCCCCCCGGTCCCTTCCCCCAACCCCCAATCCCTTTTGCTGCAGCGCGATGCAGCGACGGGGGAGCTGAGGGCGCTGCAGCGGCAGCTGGAGGAGGAGGAGGAGGCGCGGGCGGAGGCGGAGAGGAGGCGCGTGGAGAGTGAGAGGCGGCGCGCGGCGGTGGAGCAGGAGAGGAACGAGACGGAGATGGAGGCCTGCGCTCTCAAGCAGAAGCTGTCGCGCCTGCAGCGCCAGCTGTCGGAGGTAGGGAAGGGGAGGGGGGGAAGGCGGAGGGAGGGGAAGGGAGGGCGGGAGGGAGGGGAAAGGGAGGGGAAGTGATGGGAGGAATGGTGGTTGTAGCTTTGTGGGATCCATATTCGTTCGCCAGCGAGAGGCTGCGCGCGGCGGTGGAGCAGGAGAGGAACGAGACGGGGATGGGGGCTAGCACTCTCAAGCAGAAGCTGTCGCGCCTGCAGCGCCAGCTGTCGGAGGTGGGGGGGAGAGGAGGGGGAGTGAGGGGGAGTGAGGGAGGGGAAGGGGAGGAGGGAGGGGAGGGAGGGGAGGGAGGGGAGGGGAGGGAGGGGAGGAAGGGGAGGGAGGGGAGGGAGGGGAGGGAGGGGAGGGAGGGGAGGGGAGGGAGGGGGAAGGGAAGGGAACGGACGGAGGGAAGGTGAGGTGGGTTGGCTTTGTTGTGCATTAGCTTCTTGAGAGCAGGAAGACAAATGGAAGAAAGGAATGGGGAAAGCGTGTGTAGCTGATTTAACGCGCATAATTCTGTGACCCTACCTTTTTCCCCTCCCATACCCACTGCCTCCCCATGCCCACTGCCTCCCCATGCCCACTGCCTCCCCATATCCCCATCTCAACCAGTCTCGCCTCTCCCTTGCTGCTGAACCACGCAGCATCTGAGGCCATAATGCCCCTTGCGCTGTTGAGACGTGTTTTGAGTCGACTCTAAACACGACTCATCTCCCCCCTCCCCAACTGTCTCTTCTCTCCCTTGCCGCTGAACCATGTGTTATTTGAGGCAATGATGCCCCTTGCGCTCATGAGACCTATGACAGCCGTGCCCCGTGATCTGCACGGGAACATCACTCACCGCGCACAGCACGAGCAAAGAGCACAAGGAGTGGCTTCTGAGGCGCTTACGGAGCCACCCTGCCATCCCAGTCTCGCTTCCCTCCTCTCTCCCCTCCTCCCGTCCCGCCCCTCCCTCACAGCTGAACTATGCGCGCAGCAAGAGCGGGGAGCAGGAGGAGCGGGCGGTGAAGGAGCAGGCAGCGAAGGTGGCACAGCTGCAGGAGGAGGTGGTGCGGCTGAGCAAGATGGGGCAGGAGGCGGAGCGACTCAGAGCTGAAGTCATGGCCAGGGACGCCAAGGTGAGGCGTGAAGCGTGAGGGGTGGGGCGTGGCGTGGAGCAGGAAAACTTGCTTTTGAAGGGGCAAGCAGCCAAGATGGGGCAGGAGGCGGAGCGACTCAGGGCTGAAGTCATGGCCAGGGACGCCAAGGTGAGGCGTGAAGCGTGATGTGTGAGGCGTGAGGCGTGATGTGTGAGGCGTGAGGCGTGAGGCGTGAGGCGTGAGGCGTGGGGTGTGGGGCGTGATGTGTGGGGTTTGTTTGCTGAGCTTCTCCCCCCTGATTTCCATTTTCGTCTCCCATCTGCTTTCCTCCCCCGAATTTCCTCCTCCTTTCACTTTCTCTTCCTCTAATTTTTTTTTTTTTTTGTCTTTTATTCTTTTCTCCCCCACTCACTTTCCTCCTCAACCCCCACCTGTTGTCTTTCCCTCTCTCCTAACCTCCTTCCTCTCCCACCTATCTCCCCTTTCTCTCCCTCCCCCCACCGCCCCCTCCTCCCTTACCATCCCCCCTTTCTCTCCTCTGCACCCCTCCGTTCCTCGTCCGCCCACCTCCTTTCCATCTCTCTCTCTCTCTGTCTCTCTGTAGCTGAAGGCAGAGGAAGCAAAGATAACTCAGTTTGCATCCAAGCTGGTGAGACCAACTATCCCTTCTAACCTCTGCAAAGACTCACCCGCTTCTCAACCCTCTCACTCAACTCCTTTCCCTGTCAACTCCCTCCTTCAATTCCCTACCCTCTCAACTCACTCCCTACACTCTCTCAACTCCCTCCGGCCCATTTCCCTCACCATCAGCTCCTTCTCTTTCCATTCTGAAACATTCTTTCTAGCTATATGGGCAAGGGTATATCTTAGTAGCACCCAGGAATAGGCAGTGCTTTTGTGGTTGCTTTTTGAGTCGGCTTAACAATCGTATGCCCTCTCTAGTTGTACGTGCAAGAGTATACACCTCAGTAACACGTAGCGACGGGTCAAGATGTAATGGGGACAAGGCCAGCTTGAGTTCGTGCGGTGCTGTGCTGGGCTGTGCTGTGCTTTGCTCTGCTCTGCTGTGCGTTGCTGTGCTGAGCTCTGCTGTGCTGTGGTTTGTGGTGCTATGCTCTGCTCTGCTCTGCTGTGCGGTGGAGCACGGTATGGGTGGCAGAGGGAGGTCACAGAAGTAAACGAGACCATGGAGAGGAAGTTAAGGGAGCAGAGTGCAATGGAAGCAGCCGTTTACGAGGTACATACCGTTCTCTCTTCTGCCGCTCTTTCCCCTCTCTTCTCCTATTCTTCTCTACTCCTCGTTTTCTTTTTCTCCACTTCTCTTCACTCCTGTGAAATGCACAACGCCTCATCAGCAAGTAACAGGAATAACGTACCCACAATGGTGTCTGCAACTGGACACTTGTTCTTTCACTGGAATAATGTTCCTTTTTCCAGTCAAAACTATTTCTGTGGCACCTCTGAAAGTCCTTACTCTTCTTTCTCCCCTCCTTTCTCCTATCTCTAATATCTCCTCTCCCTTCTTTTGTCTCTCTTCTCTCTTCTTTCTCTCCCTCTCTTCTCGCTTCTCTCCCCTCCCATCCATCCCTCGCAGGTGACAGCAGCAGACACAAGGAAGCCAGGGCACGTGGTGAGGCTGAGGAAGAAGACGGCCTACAGCTGTGCTGTGTGCAAGCTTGCAGGCAGGGGGCTGTGCTGGCGCTGCACTCACTCCACGTGTGGGGACTATGTGCACCCGCAATGCCTCACCAAGGGGTGATACGGGCATGCGGGTGGGCGTGCGGGTGGGCGTGCATCTCAGCATCCCAGCCTAGAAGGTTCTGTAGGGTAGGGGGCTGTGCTTGCGCTGCACGCACTCCACGTGTGGGGACTACGTGCACCCGCAATGCCTCACCAAGGGGTTATTTGAGCGTGCATTTGAGTGTGTCCTAGCCTAGCCTAGAGGATCCTGTTAGGCACTGCGCTGCACCCCCTCCGCGTGCTGCGACTACGCGCACCTGCAATGCCTCACCCAAGGATGATCTGGCGAGCGGCTTGAGTTGAGCATCCTAGAGGGCTGTGTGAGCAGGGGAACTATGGTGCATGCATCCACACTGCATGCATCCACACTGCATGGACTGCCTCACCAAGGGTTGCTCCTAGAGTGAGTTTGAGGATCCTCGCATGAATACCGCTATCTAATCTATCCATCCACACCACCACCTCAGTAGCAAACGGTTTCTGTTTCTGTTTCTGTTTCTGCAACTAGACACATGCTTTGTCACCAAAAGAATGAATGCTCTTGTTGTCGCAACGCCATATACCGGTATATCAAACCAAGGGGTGATTCGAGACGGTGTTTCAAGGGTCCTGGAGTACCAGCCCCCCTAGTAGCAAACGAGTTTTGGTTGGTTATGCATGCACGACGCATGAGTCATGACTGTACCTGTTCAGCCTGGCAACGAAAGATCAGGGCAGAATCTCTGTAGCAAACCCACATACCCTCATCCAAGGTACACTAAACAGCCAGCCAGATCTGGCAAACTGTCCGAGTTATGTTATTATAACTGCATACAAGTCTAGCTATAAGTATAATGGTGTTACATTTCTGTTAGGTGGTGCACCTCTTGGTTGTTCCTTGTATAACTCTCTCGTCACTTCTCAATGTCAGCCCTCTTTTGGCCAACTCTCTCTCCTAAACCCTAGTCTCTACTAGCTACTATTTTAACATGCTATCAGAGCCTATGACGGTCTAAGGACCTCGTTTCTCTTAAAGATAATGGGCCCGCCTATACTAAAGCGCGAAATGCGCCATTTCTTTTCCGTCCGCCCGTCCGCGCGCGCTCTGCCCTGCCCGTCCGCACGCTCGTTGCCCCCCGTTCCCGTCGTCCGCGGCCCCCCGTTCCCGTCGCCCGCGGCCCCCCGTTCCCGTCGCCCGCGGCCCCCCGTTCCCGTCGCCCGCGGCCCCCCGTTCCCGTCGCCCGCGGCCCCCGTTTCGTCGCCCCGCGCCCCCCTTTCGTCGCCCCGCGCGGACGCCAGCGCCACGGCCAGCCGCGAGCGCCAGCGCGGCCCGCCAGCGCAGACGCCAGCGCAGCCGCCAGGCGCCAGCGCCTGCGCCACCATCAGCGCCAGCAGCAGCTACCGCCGCCCCACCCCCCCGCCCTCCCTTCCGCGGCTTCCGTCGTGGAGGGGGGGGGAAGGGGGAAGGGGAGATGTGGGGGCGGCGGGTGTGAGCCTCCAGCAATCCGTCCCTCCCCTCTCTCTTCCTCTCTTCCTGCAGCACTAGTTGCTGTAGGAGAAAGGGGGGGGGGGGGGGATGAGAGATGGTAAGGGGGGTAAGAGAGAGTGGTGAAACCAGTAGCCACGTATCTGCAGCTGCCGTCCACTGCTACTGTGGCACCTACTTCTGCAGCCCCTGACGCTTCTCCCTCTACGTTCGTCTTGTCAGAATCTAGCAGCAGGAATGGATGAACTAACAGGATGCAGGAGTACAAGTAGTAAACCTTAATTGGGTTGTACCCCATATGGGCTACCCCACTACATCCTAGACAATATGCAGCACATATAGTTTGACACACCCCCATAGGCAAAGTGGGGGAGAACAAGGGGTCAAACGACCAGTCAAGAGAAGCAAAACAAGCTCAGGGTGGATCACAACGTCACCACGCATTCCGAGCACAAGCAAAAGACCACATGCAGAGATATATATGCAGCAATAATAGTACAGTGATGGCTACCTAGCAAGAGCCAGCATGCAGGTATATATATAGATCACAGTACAAGCAGAGACTACAGCAAGTGTGGAAACGTAGGCACAAGGCCCAACAGAGTACAAAAGCGCTGATGATCACCAGACGGAAGTGCCTTGGTGAATATATCAGCAGTGTTGGCCCGAGTGGCCACGTGGCGAAGACGAAGCTGGCCTCGCTGCTGCAACTCTCGAGCCAGGAAGTAACGCAGAGCAATGTGCTTCGTTCTGTGCTCCAGTCTGTGCTCCTCACACAAGGCAATGGTGGCCTTGTTGTCGACGTACAGCACTGGAGGAGAACGAGGCTGCTCTCCCAAGTCAGTCAGCAGGTAGGTGAGCCAGCGTAACTCTTGTGCAGCCATGGCTGTGACGTAGATCTCAGCCTCACAACTGGAGCTGAGAACTGAAGACGAACGTGTAGAACGCCACAAAACTGAACCAGAGCCAAGGCTGAAGGTGTAACCCTGTGACGACCGCTGAGTAGCCTGGTCGTCAACCCAAGAAGCGTCTGAGTGTCCAGTGAGGACAACTGGGCTCGTCCCTCCAAGCACTAGCCCCATGCCTGATGTGCTGCACAAGTAGCGCAGTACCCTCTTAGCAGCAGCCATGTGCTCAGGTCGGTGCCGACCAGGAGCCACGTAGCGAGCCAGAAGACCAAGAGGGTACGCGAGGTCAGGTCGAGTGCAAGTCATCAGGTACATGAGGCAGCCGACTAGCTCTGGGTAAGGACCACTCGGCTCTACGGACTCGTCCGAAAGTGGAGCTGAGAGCGTGTGACCTGTAGCCAGAGGAGTGGCCTGTGCTGAAGACCAGGTGAAGCCGAAGCGCTGAAGGACCTGCTACACCATGTGTGACTGAGTCAAGGTGATGGTGCGGCGTGCTCTGTCCCGGGTGATCTGCAAGCCAAGGTAGCTGCGCAGCTCACCCAAGTCTGTGCACGTGTGTCTCTTCTGCAGCTCCGACTTCACGTGGGCGAGAGCCTCAGTGTCAGCAGTGGCAAAGACCAAGTCGTCGACGTACACGAGGATGTAGAACGGCGGCAGTGAAGTGTCGGTGCGCAGAAACAGCGACGGGTCAGCAGTAGAAGGCGCGAACCCAAGAGCCGCAAGCGTAGTCCTCAGTGTGTCGTGCCACTCACGTGGCGCCTGGCGGAGATCGTAGACCGGCCGCTGGAGGCTCCACTTGGTACCAGGAGGGAACGACCCAGTGAAGCCCGGGGGGCGGCGCAGCCAGATCTCCTCGTGCAGGCTGCCCTGCAAGAAAGCTGTGCTGAAGTCAAGAGAGTGAAGCTCGTAGTCACACTGAGCAGCAACGTGCAGCAGCACCCGAAGAGTGGTCATCTTCGGGGTGGGGGAGAAGGTCTGGAAGAAGTCAACTCCCTCTCGCTGACTGAAGCCTCGAGCAACGTAACGAGCCTTAAAGACAGGCGGAGAACCTGGCGGTCGCTTCACCCTGAAAATCCACATGCCACTGACGATGTTCGTCCCAGGAGGGGGAACCTCGTCGACGTAAGTGCCAGTGGACTTCCAGGATGCCATCTCTGCGTCCATGGCTGTCTGCCACTGAGAGGAGTACTCACCCGCGATCGCCTCAGCGTAAGAGCGCGGGGTCGGGATGTCTGGTGCATCCGGGTCTCCCTCAGGGGCAAGCAGCATGGCAACGAGATGAGGCGCAGCGGCTGCAAGACACTCAAGGTCCTCGTGCCTGTCCTCAAGGACGTCCGTGCTAAGAGCACACTCACCCCCGACGGACGGAGGACAGACAGACTCAGACTCAGCAACAAGACTGGTAGCGAACCCTAGACGACAGGCAGCAGCAAAGTCAACAAGCTCAGCGACAAGAGCAGACGCAGCAGTAGACTCAAACGACGGGTCAGTGACAACAGTGGCTAGTAGACGCGTGACAGTAGGGTGCTCACCAGTGACCTCAACCGGCGCAGTCAAGGGAGGAGGGTCTACCTAAGAAACACCTGAAGGAGCAGGACCGGGAGCGGGGAGGGGGTCTACCTGGGGAGCACCTGGAGCGAGGAAGAGCGGCGGGGGGGGGGAGCGGGGCAGTGCGGTAGGGAAAGAGACGGTAAAAGGGAACCGACTCGTCGAACGTGACGTCCTGAGACGCAAAGACACGGCGCGAGGTGGGGTGGTAAAACTGCCAACCAGGCGCGTCAGGGACAAAGCCAAGGAAGACACAGGGAACAGCGCGGGCGGAGAGCTTGTCCGCGGTGGTATCGCGGACAAAGGCACGAGCACCCCAGACCCGGAAACGCGACGCATCGCCAACCTTCCCCGTCCACAGCAGTGTGGGCGAGGTCTCCGGCAAGGAGACACGGGGCCAGAGGTTGAGCTGATGCGCGGCGTACCGGACCGCAAACGGCCACAGGAAATGGGGGGCAGCCGCATGGATCATGGAGGTACGAGCGACCTCCACGACTAAGCCAATGCGGCGCTCAGCAACCCCATTCTGCTGTGGAGAGGCCGGAAGCGTGAACGACTGGGTGATGCCGTGCTTCGCACAGTAGGCTGCCAAGAGGTCTGAGGAGAACTCACCACCTCTGTCAGAGTGCAGACGGAGGACAGGAAAGTCCCGCCGGAACCGCTCGCGGAGCTGGAGACGAACAGTGCGGATCCAAGGGATCAAAACATCAGGGACGTCCCCCTTGCTCTGCAAAAGGAAGACTGTGGTGTAACGCGTGTAGTCGTCGACGACCAGCAGGAAGTACCGCTCGCGGCCCTGTCCCTGGACGCGGGCTGGGCCCCACACGTCCAGGTGGAGCGTCTGCAGTGGAGCCTCTGTGGGAGGAAACGAGGAGGAGTGAGGAGCGGCGCGCTGCCGCCCCTCGACGCAAGGAATGCAGGGTGGCGCAGGCGAGGGAGGGAGGGCAGGCAGAGACCTGGGAAGACCAGAGACCAGGGAGCGAGAGTGCATGCTACGCAGGCGAGGCAAGGAGGGGTGACCAAGGCGGTGGTGCCACAGGAGAGTGTCGTGCGACAAAGCGCGACACTCGCAGGGGGCCGCCAGCTGACCAGACACAG